GAGAAGGTGGAAGGGTGGCAGCGAGTAGGAGAAGGTGGAAGGGGTGGCAGCGAGTAGGAGAAGGTGGAAGGGGTGGCAGCGAGAGGAGAAGGTGGAAGGGGTGGCAGCGAGAGGAGAAGGTGGAAGGGGTGGCAGCGAGTAGGAGAAGGTGGAAGGGGTGGCAGCGGAGGAGAAGGTGGAAGGGGTGGCAGCGAGGAGGAGAAGGTGGAAGGGGTGGCAGCGAGTAGGAGAAGGTGGAAGGGCTGGCAGCGAGGAGGAGAAGGTGGAAGGGGTGGCAGCGAGGAGGAGAAGGTGGAAGGGTGGCAGCGAGTAGGAGAAGGTGGAAGGGGTGGCAGCGAGTAGGAGAAGGTGGAAGGGGTGGCAGCGAGGAGGAGAAGGTGGGGGTGGCAGCGAGTAGGAGAAGGTGGAAGGGGTGGCAGCGAGTAGGAGAAGTGGAAGGGGTGGCAGCGAGGAGGAGAAGGTGGAAGGGGTGGCAGCGAGTAGGAGAAGGGTGGAAGGGGTGGCAGCGAGGAGGAGAAGGTGGAAAGGGGTGGCAGCGAGGAGGAGAAGGTGGAAGGGGTGGCAGCGAGTAGGAGAAGGTGGAAGGGGTGGCAGCGAGTAGGAGAAGGTGGAAGGGGTGGCAGCGAGTAGGAGAAGGTGGAAGGGGTGGCAGCGATAAAGGTGGAAGGGGTGGCAGCGAGTAGGAGAAGGTGGAAGGGGTGGCAGCGAGGAGAGAAGGTGGAAGGGGTGGCAGCGAGTAGGAGAAGGTGGAAGGGGTGGCAGCGAGTAGGAGAAGGTGGAAGGGGTGGCAGCGAGAGAAGGTGGAAGGGTGGCAGCGAGTAGGAGAAGGTGGAAGGGGTGGCAGCGAGGAGGAGAAGGTGGAAGGGGTGGCAGCGAGGAGGAGAAGGTGGAGGGGTGGCAGCGAGGTAGGAGAAGGTGGAAGGGGTGGCAGGGAGTAGGAGAAAGGTGGAAGGGGTGGCAGCGAGTAGGAGAAGGTGGAAGGGTGGCAGCGAGAGGAGAAGGTGGAAGGGGTGGCAGCGAGTAGGAGAAGGTGGAAGGGGTGGCAGCGAGTAGGAGAAGGTGGAAGGGGTGCAGCGAGTAGGAGAAGGTGGAAGGGGTGGCAGCGAGTAGGAGAAGGTGGAAGGGGTGGCAGCGAGTAGGAGAAGGTGGAAGGGGTGGCAGCGAGTAGGAGAAGGTGGAAGGGGTGGCAGCGAGTAGGAGAAGGTGGAAGGGGTGGCAGCGAGTAGGAGAAGGTGGAAGGGGTGGCAGCGAGTGGAGAAGGTGGAAGGGGTGGCAGCGAGTAGGAGAAGGTGGAAGGGGTGGCAGCGAGTAGGAGAAGGTGGAAGGGGTGGCAGCGAGTAGGAGAAGGTGGAAGGGGTGGCAGCGAGGAGGAGAAGGTGGAAGGGTGGCAGCGAGTAGGAGAAGGTGGAAGGGGTGCAGCGAGTAGGAGAAGGTGGAAGGGGTGGCAGCGAGAGAGGAGAAGGGTGGAAGGGGTGGCAGCGAGTAGGAGAAGGTGGAAGGGGTGGCGCGAGTAGGAGAAGGTGGAAGGGGTGGCAGCGAGTAGGAGAAGGTGGAAGGGGTGGCAGCGAGTAGGAGAAGGTGGAAGGGGTGGCAGCGAGTAGGAGAAGGTGGAAGGGGTGGCAGCGAGTAGGAGAAGGTGGAAGGGTGGCAGCGAGAGGAGAAGGTGGAAGGGGTGGCAGCGAGAGGAGAAGGTGGAAGGGGTGGCAGCGAGTAGGAGAAGGTGGAAGGGGTGGCAGCGAGTAGGAGAAGGTGGAAGGGGTGGCAGCGAGGAGGAGAAGGTGGAAGGGTGGCAGCGAGGAGGAGAAGGTGGAAGGGTGGCAGCGAGTAGGAGAAGGTGGAAGGGGTGGCAGCGAGTAGAGAGAAGGTGGAAGGGGTGGCAGCGAGAGGAGAAGGTGGAAGGGGTGGCAGCGAGGAGGAGAAGGTGGAAGGGGTGGCAGCGAGGAGGAGAGGGTGGAAGGGGTGGCAGCGAGTAGGAGAAGGTGGAAGGGGTGGCAGCGAGTAGGAGAAGGTGGAAGGGGTGGCAGCGAGTAGGAGAAGGTGAGAAGGTGGCAGCGAGTAGGAGAAGGTGGAAGGGGTGGCAGCGAGTAGGAGAAGGTGGAAGGGGTGGCAGCGAGTAGGAGAAGGTGGAAGGGGTGGCAGCGAGTAGGAGAAGGTGGAAGGGGTGGCAGCGAGTAGGAGAAGGTGGAAGGGGTGCAGCGAGTAGGAGAGAAGGTGGAAGGGTGGCAGCGAGTAGAGAGAAGGTGGAAGGGGTGGCAGCGAGTAGGAGAAGGTGGAAGGGGTGGCAGCGAGGAGGAGAAGGTGGAAGGGGTGGCAGCGAGGAGGAGAAGGTGGAAGGGGTGCAGCGAGAGAAGGTGGAAGGGGTGGCAGCGAGTAGGAAGAGTGGAAGGGGTGGCAGCGAGGAGGAGAAGGTGGAAGGGGTGGCAGCGAGAGGAGAAGGTGGAAGGGGTGGCAGCGAGTAGGAGAAGGGTGGAAGGGGTGGCAGCGAGGAGGAGAAGGTGGA